GTATATAGAGTTATGTCGTCATCGTCGGCGGTGGAGTTTGTGGCGGAGCAACGGAGATGCAGCGACGATGGTAACGACGGAGAGACAGTAAAGAACGGCGAGCTTGATCATAATTTGCTTCTTCGTACCTCCACCGAACCATCGGCTCCGACCATTTCTCTCTCAACGGAAACTTTTCTTAGAGCAGCAACGTTACTCAAAGACAAGGTGCGTAAGATAAAGAGAACTCAACACCGCTATAAGGCTAACGTAAGCCAGAATCTGTACGTTACTTTGGCTCATATATTTGTATATTTCTTGGTTATAGGTCGTGGAGGCCACGAGGAAAGGCGGTGTTCCGGATCCGGGTCTGGTGTTGGATCCGACTGTGTACACGGGTTTACTCGGTACAGCTTTCACATGCTTGAAGTCGTACGAGATTACAAAGAACCGTCAAGATTTGCTAACTTGCGCTGAGATAATCGATACGTGTGCCAACGTTGCACGTGCCACAACCAGGTGAAAACAAATATCTTCGCCATTAAAGTTCCTTAGCCGAGTAACCAAAAATGTTGTTATAATCAACTAACAATATTGAATAGTATATTACACAAATGTCACAATTGAGCCAATTATTGAATAATTCCAGTATATGGAATAATATGTACACACACACCTATTCAAATTAAACTTGTCGTTTTCTAACTAATAATTGGAATATTATTATTTTATGCTTGATGGATAGGCACGTGACGTTTTTATGTGGAAGAGGAGGAATTTATGCGCTTGGTGCAATCGTGGCCAATTACAGAGGGGACCAATCAAAGCTTGACCTCTTCCTCGGTCTCTTTCTTGAGGTTCCAATCTTTTTGACTTTTGATTACTTCACGTTTCACCAATTTCAGACATAAAGTAGTTTTAGTAATCTAATCCCACGTCCCGATAATTAAAACCCTAAGCAAGATCAATAATGTGATAGTTATGTGATAAAAATGCTCTGTTTTGATAGACTGATTTTGATCCAAGTCTTGTAGTGAGATTGTAAATTTGCTTTTTGTTACAAACAGCTAGCAGAAGAGAGAGAGTTACCAGCAGGAGCAGAGGAAGGAGGATTTGGAATGTCATCTGACCTTCTATATGGAAGAGCTGGTTTCCTTTGGGCTGCATTGTTCCTAAACCGATATCTTGGCCAAGGCACGGTTCCTGACCATCTCTTATCGCCTATCGTCGCAGCGATTTTATCCGGTGGACGAGTTGGAGCCGCGGATCACGAGGCTTGCCCTTTGTTATACAGGCAAGTGTTTTATACTAGAATTCATTTATATCAAGAATGTCAGGAATGGAAAATTTATCTTTCATTTTGTTTTGTGGGTTTTTAGGTTTCATGGGACTCGATTTTGGGGCGCGGCTAATGGATTAGCTGGGATCTTGCACGTATTGTTACATTTTCCGTTATCGGAAGAGGATGTGAAGGATGTGCAAGGGACATTGAGGTACATGATGAGTAATAGGTTTCCCAACAGCGGGAATTACCCGTGTAGCGAAGGGAATCCGAGGGATAAGTTGGTTCAATGGGCACATGGAGCAACCGGCATGGCGATCACTTTGGCTAAAGCATCTCAGGTGTTTCCCAAGGAAAGGGATTTCCGTGAAGCAGCCATTGAAGCAGGAGAAGTAGTGTGGAAGAGTGGCTTGGTGAAGAAGGTAGGCTTAGCTGATGGAGTTGCCGGTAATGCCTACGCTTTCTTATCGCTTTATCGGTTAACAGGAGATGTTGTTTACGAAGAGAGAGCAAAAGCATTTGCGGGTTACCTGTGTCGTGATGCAAGAGATCTCGTGAATGCTACAAGGGAAGAAGCAGAACATGATTATTCTCTTTTCCGGGGACTAGCTGGACCAGTATGTCTCTGGTTCGATCTTGTGTCAGCGGTAGATTCTAAGTTTCCTGGTTATGAGATATAATTCAATATCGGGTAGTATGAATATCCTAGAGAAAGGACCTTGTCTTCTCCGTGGACCGTGGTTATTGATATATGTCTTCGGTTTATTTCAGTTTCTAAAAATGCTGTGAAACTGAGACATGCTTCAGTGCATATATCATAAACAAACAATTTGTATCTTTTAAGTAATACAATGGTGGCAATAATACAATCATGGATTCAAACTGTGTTGACAGTATCAGTAAGACAGCGGAGAATGCAACCGAGACCAGCTCTCTCGGTCAGTTTCTCGTGAATTTTCAAACACTGATCGCATGTGGGTCGGTCCCCAGTAGAAAGGCCTCGGTACAAGTACCTGTTCCACACCATTCAAGGAAACAAAAGATTAACACTTCTGCCTAAAGCTATCAGAGAAACATAAACTCCGCAAATGTTACATTCCCATCAAGAGCACATTCCAAACCTTAGCATCTAGTATCACATTACCACCCCTTATCAAAACCAAACTATTTGCAGAGATTGCAGAAACCAAATCTAACCATGTTAACATTTTGCTCCAGGCTTATCTATCTCCAATGCAATCCAGACAAGAAACCTTTCTACTTTCTAAGAGCCGTTTGGTCGGAAAATGAGACACTTTCTAGGTTGCCAGTGTTTAATATCGAATATAACGATTCCCGTAACAAGAGGCGAGGGACTTACTTCATGAGAATGTCGTAATACTCGACATCAAGAGCAATCAGCATTCCGTCAATATCCTTAATCGCCATTATAGCTCTGTGCACAACTATCCAATTAGCCGACTGCAATTTCACCAACCGATTTTATCATCTTTTGGTCAATGAAAAAGAACCACTAGAGAGATTAGTGAGGCAGGGAAAAACAAAAGACCTTGCAACGTTCATCTCGAGTTTTCGGAGGCGAACCTTCAAGAGCCGTTTTAAGAGCTTCAACATGTTTGTACCTGCACAAACCAAGTATCTAAATATTAAAGAAAAAAACAAAAAAAAAGAGGAAACTTTTAAGGGTTTAGCTCCAAAGCAACATACTGTTTGAGTAAGCTTTCAATCTTCTGTGATTTGGTTTCGATCCTCATGATTATACCATCTGCATTATCAGCCTCAACAATGGTTCCAGCCATTGGATCTCTCTCCTTCCTTCTCCAGAAAGATTATCTAAAACCAAATAAACTCATTTCATTTCTTCATCCAAATCGAAAACCCACCTATACATAAGAGGATTTTGAATAAGTAATCAAAAGAGGTCAAATGCAAAAAAACTTGTCAAGCCCACAGAAAGGGCACAAAATTGGACATCGAAAGTACCAATTTTTCGCAGAGAGAAGTAACGATCATGAAGAATCAAATTCTAATCAGGTCGAAAAAATCCATGTTTAGATATCTCACAGCTTCAGATTCAGATCAGTAGTAATTCAGAAATTTAGGATCAAACCATATACAAGGATCAACCAGAGGTTTCGAAGTTTACCTGAAACCAGAGAGAATCAAAGCGATCGAGTGATATAGAGCTACCGAGAGAGAACCTCTCAGAATTGATGAACAAATTGAAAATCGGACACGGGTAGATTCAGGGGACTAGCTGTTTCTGGTTCGATCTTGTAACGTTGGTTGATAAAACCGTCGATTCGATTGGTGGATCTTTGTGGAAAAAGTCTTGGTTTTTTCATGGTTATTGATTGGTATATATCCCGGTTTACTTAATAATGTTGTGAATCACTTTTATGGCCGAACAGTCAAACACTAAAAGAATGTATAGAGAATAAAACCATTTTAATCAAATTAAGATCCAATTAGACCTTTTTAGATATTAAGATCGTTTCGTTTAACTCGGATTCAATCCACAAAAGCTGCTAATCAAGCAACAACAAACGAATAACAAAAGACTCTGGATACGAGTAACAAGCCAATCAAAATCTTAAAAATATCTATATGTATATGTCTTGTAAGAATTGAATTGGTTAAGTCTTAAGAGTTACAACACATGGTACTCTTCGTTGGTATCACTTGACCAGGACCTGGAACAATATCAATCTTCTTACCAGCAAGCGACCCGGCATGACCATTCTCTTGTTCTTCACTCACAGCAAGACTCTTCTTGTTCACAATGTTGAAGATTTCGGTCAGAACCGTGGAGAAAGCGCTCTCGACATTAGTCGCGTTAAACGCAGATGTCTCCAAGAAGAATAACCCTTCTTTCTCCGCGAATTCTTTAGCGTCCTCGGTTGGAATAGCCCGTTGATCTTCTAGATCCGACTTGTTCCCAATAAGGATTATCACAATGTTCTTGTCCGCATGAGCACGCAACTCTTCTAGCCATCTTGGGATATGGTCAAAGGTTTGACGTCTGGTTATGTCGTAAACCAACATCGCCCCAACCGCTCCTCGGTAATATGCACTTGTCACCGCTCTGTACCTGCTCGATTACAAGATACCAAATTCACAAATCTATAAAGAAACTCTGTAAAAGAAGCCATACAGTAATACATATGCCTATGATAAGCAAGAAATGTGGGGTTTAGGACTACTTTACGGTTCCAAGTAGATTATTCCAGAGATTTTGGCTATTGTCATTGATCAGCAACAATGACACTTAAGATCTGAGCTCAAAACCATTTTGCAGTGAAATATATAGTTGAAGCAAGCTTATTAGATTTGTAGAAACTGGAAGAGTAATAGAGTCTAGTCAATACGGATTCTCATCATCATTTGAAACCCAACTCACAGATTCTCAATAATTCAGCTTCCTAATTTCTGCGATTTTACTTCAGAATTCGAAATCCTAAACTGAGCTACAACTATCTATCAATCGGACCAAGAGAAACAACGAAATCTTACGAGATCTAAGCTCAAGCAACCCAAACGGATTAAAAACATAGCAAATCAGAATCGATTCAAGCAACAAAAAAGTTTCAGAGAAGTCGGAGATTTACCGTTCTTGACCGGCGGTATCCCAGATCTGAGCCTTAACACTCTTGCGATCAATAACAAGCGTCCGAGTTTGAAACTCTACACCGATTGTAGCCTTAGAATCCAAACTAAACTCGTTCCTCGCATATCGAGCAAGTATCTGCGATTTCCCAACCGCCGAATCGCCGATCAAAACCACTTTGAACACATAATCAATCTTCTGCGACGGATCTCCATATCCTCCTCCACTCGTCATCTTCAACCTCTCTCGCTAAATCCTCTGGTTTTCGAAGCTTTTCAACAATGGAAGCTTGAGGCTTTTTCCGATAAAGGAGCTTTTTGAAGTTTTAAACGCAGTTTAGTGTCGTCGTTTTCAACTAAAGGTCAACAAAATTGAAAATTTGTTGTCGTGTTTTAATATTCACCGTTAGATTTATGGCGGTTCGAATCTTAGCGGTTAGATTTGACAGAGCGACAGTTGTCTTTTTGTCAGGCGGATGTTTTTGGGTGGTGATGTCATCGATATGGTAAATTTTAGATAATACGAGGGTTGAATCGAAATTAATGAAAAAATGTTAAGCCTGTTAAAATTGGGCCTTGAGGCCCATTAGGTGATGATAAATGGCCTGGTTACGATGATTACGTGTCGCTATCCGAATTAAAAAGTGCCCTAAACGCTTTTCGGTGAGGAAAAAGCTAACGTCGCGACGGT